CACACCCACACCCACACCCACACCCACACCCACACACCCACACCCACACCCACACCCCACACCCACACCCACCCTTGAGACAACCAAACAAACATATTCAAGAAAATGATGGCAATATTAAAGAACAAAAACTAGTGGAAATAAATGAAATGATAACAACTTTAGAAGCTGATGTTAACGAAAATACAGATAAAAAAATACTTCAATTACAAGGTGAACTTGATCGTTTCAAACAATGTTTAGAAAATATCCGAAAATTAGAAAAAGATATTCACGAAAAAAAACAACAGATTTAGAAATTCAGTGAAAATATTGTTAATGCTAATAAAGTGATAGCAGAGAACGATGAAAACTTGAATGATCTTTTACAAATAAAAAAGGTTCAATTCGAAAGTATGCTTAATTCTTATGAGGGTGAGGCGTCCAAAAAAATCAAGAGAAATCAGTATGAAATAACAGCTTCTTGGGATAGATTCGGGACAGTCAAAGAGGAGAAAGACGTCAAAATACTAGAAAAACATTTAGAAGAGCAACGCAAGGCTTTAGACAAACTAAATGATAGTTTAAAAGAAAAAGAGGAAGAGCTAAAGAAATTAAGAGAGAGAAATGATGTTTTAGACATTAATCTTATTTCTGGAATTCGAACAGAAATACGTACTCTCAAGACTAAAGTAGGTGGCATAGATGAAGAAATCGGAAAACTAAAGGGAGAGAAAAACAAATTAGAAGAAAAAAAGTCAGAAGAAATTCGTAAAAAAAAAGCTGAAAAATTTTTTTTGGATGTAGGAGGATCAAATGAAGTCGTTCCTAATAAAAATGAAAAATCTCGTCCACATCGCAATTGCGTCGTCTCTCCAGGAGTAGGTTATTGTAATTATATAGGTGCAGTAGAAGATGCAATAGAGTTTGTCTCAGAAAAGCTCGATTCTGAAGAGAGTATTGATGTGGAAGAAACAAAACAGCAGTTGCTTGTGTACTTGTCTTTGTCCTCTTCCCCGAGATATCCACATTCTGTTGGAAATATCAAAGATGGAAAACATGTAGAGGATTTAAAAAAAGTTGTTGATGAGACAGTAAAAAAAATAAATGTATTGAGAGATGAAGCAAAAGAAATCAAAAAGGAGTATGATGAAAAGATACAAAAGAAAACAGAAGAGAGCGAACAGAAAGAAAAAGAAAAAACAAATATTGAAAATGAAATAGAAAAGAATAAAGGTATTTTGTTAGAATACCACAAAGAAATCAAAAATAATTGTTTGAAAATTCTCAATATTAAAGAAAATATAAAATATATCCAATCAGGTATTAAACAGAAAAAAGAGAACATTCCAGTTCTAGAAGAAAAGAAAAAAGTCTCCAATAGTAGACTTCAATTTGCGGAAGAATATGCTAAAATAAAACAGAACGACGTTCCTTCTCAAATTGAATGTTACAAAAAATTACTTGAAACTATTAAACAACCAGATTCATGTTCAACATTTCTTAGAGATCAATATCAACAAATAACTCAATTAATAAATTATCTTAATTGCTTAGAATATGAAAATAAGGATAAACGACCCGATTCTAACAGCAATAATCTTCAAGATAATTTGAATTTAGAAAACAAATCGGAAAATTTACCCACGACAGTCTCATCATTAGAAAATGAACAAAAACAAGTCGAACAGTTAGAGAACGAATTATCTGAATTAAATCTAAAGAAAACACAAGCTGAACTTGATTTACGAGAAAGAAATATTATTAATAAATCAAAAGTAATTGAACATCAGTTGAATTATTTGAAATTTCTTCCAGAAATAAAAGCTCTCCAAGAGAAATCAATTTTATTGAATAAATCATCTCAAATATATAGTCGAACTCATTATGGATTTGATTTACGAGGTAAAAAATATGCTTTTCAGTTACCAGATCCTGGAAATGAACAGGCTCAGCAGGATACTATCAAAAAGATTAATGACATACTTGAACTTGTTGACTTAATAGATAAACAAATAGTTGAGCTGAAAGCCGAAAGACAAAATCTTATTGAACAATCGGAAATTACTTCGGAAGAAAAGAAATTGAGTCATTTTAAAAGTATTGAAAAGTTTCTATTGACTCGATTTATTCGTTTGTCCGGATTTGATCGATTTACTGATGGAAAAATATTAAATGGAATCGAATCTTTTATATCTGTTTTAATTTCTGAGATCATAGATCGACCTCATTTGTATCAAATTGATGGTTTTAATCAACCTGATCCCATCATTGAACAAGGTTTAAACAAAATTTTAATGAAATCAAAAGATGAGAATAATCTTTCTCCATTTATATCGGAAATTAATAAAGAGTATTCTGATGAAGGTTGCATTTCTGAAGTTGATATTTTAGAAGCAGGAGAAACAAAAAAAATATATATATCGAATGTTTCTGATTTTGAAGTTCATAACAAGAAAACACTATATCTTTTCAAACATGATACTCTGTATTTTGTTCTGAAACACGATCAAGCAATTAAATTAATAGATAATGAAAATCTTAATTTTAAATTAAATATAAATAAAAATCTATCGGATTTATCAAATGAAACAGATCTATTAGAAGATTTATTTCGAAAACGACTAGCATATAGCTATAAAGAAAATTTACAATTATCGAATAAATTAGCACAAGTTTATCAAAATGAAATTAATCAGTTAAGTCAAATTCATTCAACAAAAGAATTGAACGCAATATTTTCGTCATATACAAATCCGACACTTTTTTACTTTCTATCAAATATAGATGAAAATTTAGATCGACTCGGATTAAAATTAAACAAATTTGATTTCGAATTCGAAGAAATATCAAATTTTAGCTTAATTAAAATAAAAGATCTTTATAGAACAGCTATTATTAAAGTATTATTTGATGAACAAGAAAGAAGAAAACAAATTCGTTTAGAAAAGCTAACAAAGAATGAAAATGAAGAAATTCATTTAACAAATCTTATTCAACAAGATGAAGAAAGAGAAAAACAATTATTAGAAAAAATAGCTAAAACACAGGAAGAAATTTTTAAAGTTGAATCCGATTTAAATAAAATCATTGGTCAAATGACGCAATCGGAAGAAATTTATAAAAAACAGATTGAAAATTTAGAACAAGAAAGAAAGAAGATTTTATCAGAGTTGAATGATTTAAATGAAGAATTAGATAAATTAAGCAAAGATATGATTAACAATGAAAAAGAAATTCGAAAAATAAAACAGAAAGTGGAAGATTTAAATACTCAATCACAAAATGTCGGTAAGAATATAAAGGAGATAGAGACAAAATTAAAAGAAACGATAGACCAAAAATGTGAATCAGAAAGAGAGAAAATTGGTTTAGAAACTGAAAAAAAACAGATTGAAGTGAAAAGAAATCATCAGGAAGACAAATTGAAAGAAAAGCAAAAGGAAATAAATCAAAATGAAGCTTGGAAGAAATTCCTACAGAATTTAACTAAAGCTTTCCTTAGTGAACAGATTAGTAAAAAAAGACAGTCGATTTTAAATCAAATAAACTCGACCACTAACTTATCAGATTTATACAATGTTCTACGACAGAATAATGATTTAAAAAATATTTTATTCGAAAATCTCAATGAAACAGATGTTAACAATTATATAAACAATCCAACTAATTTGTCTCGTGATAAAAACTCTAACTTACATATTAGATTAAAACAATTAGCTAAAAGTTTCTTAGGACCGTTAAATGGTCAGTTAGTTTCTGAACTTGGTATTAATATCAAAGGGGATCCAATTCAAGTTAAAAAATATAAAATTTCCGTAAGTGGTAATGTTTCTTATCGAGGAATTCATCAAAATTTAAAAGATACGATTGAAAGAGAGATCAAATGTCAAAATGGTGGTTTATTTTTCGACGAAGAATATTTAAAAGTAATAGCAAACGGAATAAATTCATTGGATGATTTACCTAAAGAGATAAAATCTGTGATTGTCGATAGAATAAAAATAGACTATCAACAACATGAATGGGAGGATAGATTGAATAGAAAATATGAAAAAGCAGTTCAACAATTAAATGAATTAAAGATTGATTATAAGAAAATTGTTGGTTGTTATGTAGATCAGATTGAAATTTTATGTGGGGGTATCTTTCTACTAGATTCAAATGATTATTATCCAGGAATTGATTTGATAATTCGAGCTAAACGAATGAAATGTGGAATTGAAGGAAAATCTGTCAAGTTGATAACTACAGGGTCAGATGCACGAGAATTTCGTTTCAAACAAGCATCAGATGGAAGTAAAAAACGTACCTATCGTGACATTCCAGAAGGTCATTCTGGTTACGTTGGGGAATTCGGTCGAGATGGTCAACATGCAGGAAATATTTTCATTAAAATAGATGAGACAATCGAAAATTTAGAAAATTTAGAATCTGTTGAACTTTCAGGTGGCAAGGGAAGTTCAGGACAGTTAGGTGGAAGTGGGGACAGGGGACATAAGGGAAAAGATGGAGAAAATGGCAAAGCAGAAGATACTCGTGGATTTGCAGGTGGACAAACTACTTTTGGATTTGGTCAACCAGGAACACACAGTGGAGATGGAGGAAATGCAGGTTTTTCAGGACGCGGTGGTAAAGGCGGACAGCCAGGCAAGTTAACCATCAGTGATAATCAAGGTGATCGATTTGAACAAATCAAAGATCGGATTCAACAAAAAGAAGGTTTAGCAGGTGAAGATCCTGATTTGTCAAGTAGTACGGCATCAAAAGGAGGAGAAGGTGGTGAGCCAACGATTGTTGGAATGGATCAAGTCAGAAATAAAAAGAGTTTTATTCGTAAAACAACGACAGAGAATGGTGAAATTGATATTCCCTATTTATTAGAAAAAAATCCTGAATTGCGAGAGACAATAGAAAAAAATGAAGACTTTGGATACAGGGGTCTTCCGACATACGTGTCAGTTACGTTCGTTCTTGTAGCTCCTATTATTATTGCTCCTCTTCCATTACTGATTGATGGTACTATTCCTTATAGAATGAGTAAAAATGAAGAACAATATAGACTAAACCCAAGAAGAGATAAAAATACGAAAGGAAAATCAAAAGAAAATGAAACTAGTCGATTTCGACAAGAAACTGAAAGAGAATCCGAAACAATCAAAAGAGATTTCAGTGATACTTCAAACTTAGATCGATCTCTGCTCGAGAAATGTAAGAAAGTATCAGAAAATATTAAAGAGAATGATTATGAACAAATAGTTAATCAACTAAAAATAGAAGAACAAACTATTAATAGTAAAATAGCAGATTATCAAGTATAAGAACATTCATTAGAAAGTGATATTACTTTAAACGAACAAAAGATAGCACAATTAGACAGTGACATAAATGAATGTGAAAATAGATTGCGTCGATTAAGACAGGAGAATGTTGAATTGATGCAAGAAGAATCATTAGCCATAGGGCAAGAACTTGAATTAACGACTCGTCAAATAGATCTACGAGATAGAATAAATGAAAAACAATTAACTCAAAAGATTTCTGTAACTAATTTACAAATCTATCCCGGATTATATCGTCAATATCAGGAAGAATATGGTAGAATGAAAGATTATTTAAATGAATATAAAAGTGTCAAAGAAATTCTATTGAAAAAAAAACGAGAAGAAAAAGCTCAAATAGAAAATGAATTAGCACAATTAAATACTAATTTAAAAGAGAATAGAAAAAAATTAAGTCGTTTTAAAGATGAGAAACTTACATTATTGAAAGAAGAAGCTATTTTAACTGAAGATATTTTACAAAAAACTGAAGAAGAAATACAATATGAACATGAATATGAAATCAATTATATTTTAGATAAGGAAATTGAGAGTCCAAGAATTAGAAAAACTTTTTTAAATAAAATCGAAGAAGATGCTTTTCTACCTTTTGTTCAAAAATTAACAAATTCTGATCAAAATAATGGAAATTTGCTAGTTTTTCGAGTATTAAGCGCTTCTATTAGTGGAAAAGAAGATGATCAATTGGTGGAACGTAGTGTTTGTTGGTTAATTAACTTCGATCCAACAAAAATTGATTTTCAGGAGATAACTAAGATTATTAAGCAATTCTTTCAAGGAGATGAAACAGTTCTATGTCAATTTGAGAACAGTCATAAGTCAGCAAAGATCGAACAGTTTGATCCATATTCTATCTTCATAGAATCGTTAAAAGCGATGATAAATATACTTAAAAATATTTTTCAAACAAAATTAAGTGATATGAAATTTAATTTAAAGCAAATCGAACGATTTTACAGAGGAATTCATTATAGTTACGAAATTGACATGAATCAAATAATTCAAAGTATTCAAAATATGAAGATTGATAATGGTGATTTAGAATTGAATATAATTTTTGTTAATTTTTTGAAACAAATTGAATTAATAACCATAGAAAAGTTTTTAGATAAAATGGATAAAAAAACTAGGAATAATTTATTGAAAAATTTGAAATTAGTTTTAAATTATTTAAATAATAAAAATGAAGAAATAATGTTTTCTTATTTGGATAAAGATTTCTTAAATCAATTATCTGCTTTAAGAGCAAAATTAGGCGATTTTAATAATAGTTTATTAATCAATATAGAAAATGGTTTAAAAAATATAAAAGAAAAGCGATTTTTACAACAGATTAATATTATAGATGATGTTGAACAAATGATTCAAATATTTGATTTTAGAAGATTGTTTAGATTAGAATGTTCGAGCATTGATTTTCATCATAATAATTCATGTTTGACTAAATTAGAATTAGACATGCTGGAATTTAATGAAAAGCCAACTTTTGAGCAACTTATTTCATTGGCTAAAAGTTTTCGAGATGTCCTAGAAGAAAAAAAAGACCTTTTTTATGGACGATCTGTAAAAAATGATAAGAAATTTTTTGAAGTTATCATTCACAATTTTGATTACTTTGCACAGAGTACTTTCGAGCCAAATTTATTGGGAGAATTCGAAGCGGTTATAACTAAGCTTCCTTTTACGAAACAATGCTTCGATGAAATCTATCAAGATTTTTTAATTAAAATTAAGAATAAAAAAGACTTAGATAAATTAATAACATGTTTAGAACAGAAAAGTCTATCTTCAAAAAGTTACCATACCATTGTAAATAAATTACTTTCATCTTATATTGATCTTGATGAACCTAAGAAACAATCTATAAAAGAAAAAATTAATCAAGTTCAAGATAATAATATTGAACTTGTATATAAAGAGTTGCGGAGTTTAATAAATCCTGAAGAAGTAGAAGTCAAATGTGAGCAATTAAATGAAGAATTAAATGAAAGAAATCAAGATATGGAGTTTATAAAAAGCATCAAGCCAATTATTGGCGAAAAATTTCAAACTGTTGATTTGGAAAATATGCCTTTGTCTAGTATAGAAAAAGTCGTAGAAACAATTCTATTGGAAGTGTTTTATGAACTTTATGACATGTATAATGATAAATCATTACGAGATAAAGCCAAAGAGGATTATAAAGAACAAGTACTATTTATTTTAAAACTAGATAAAAATCCTGAAAAATGTTTTTCTATGTTTCAAACATTATGCAAACAAAGTTATTATTGTAATGATTTATTAAATACGGATGATTTTGAAATGTTCGATCGAATAGAAATTAAGAATTCTCTTTTTAAACTAGATTATTATTATCATAATATACCTTGTGACTTAGAAAATATACCTTGTCACTTAGAACAACTACAAAAACTTTTTAAAATATCAAAAACTTTTTTATCGAATCAAACTTTAGAAAATTGTCCTTGTAAGATAAAACAAATACGTCTGAGACAATATACTGATTTAAAGAACGATTTATTTCGACTACAAATAGAAAAAGAGTTGACTGAAGTGAATATTAATAGACAAATTCAAGTATATCTTAACGATGAAAATCAACAGGAGGATGATGGATGAAATAAAGTTGAGAAGATTTTAGGTGAAATACTAACGAATAATTCAGATGACATCATAAAAAATGATAACTTATTCAAAAACATTTTTGGAAACCTTTGCCTAGGAAACCTTAAACTTTTCAAATGTCTTTTGAATTCATTTAATTTTCAAATTTTACCCGGTGCATTTATAATAATTCGAAACTTTAAGGCTATTTTAAATAAAAATCAATGTTCAGAATATTTTCACGAAATCTTTTTACTCAAGTATGTCCAGGTATGTGAAGTTAATATTCTATCTGTAAAAAGAAGTTTAAATGATTTATCAAAAAAATTAGATAAATTAGACGATTTCGAGAATGCGGTTCATCGAGTTTTAACAATTTTAAATAGTGAATTTGGAATAGATACAACTGAAGTCAAGTATTATTCTCAATTAGAAAAACTCATTAATGAAGTGCAATTATACTATGAAAGACATTTAAAATTCGCTGATAAATGTGAAGCCTTTCTATCCAATGTAAGTGATCATAAACATATAAAAGATGTTCCTATGATTGAAACAAATATTAAACAAATTGAGAAAATTCAATTTTCATATAAAGGTGAAGAAAAACTATTTCATTTATCTAACAATGATAATGCGGAAATAAATATAGATTGGTTAAAATATTTACGTTTCGTTCATGAATGCAATCCTACTGATCAAGTATTAGAAAAAATTAAACTAGATTATGTTAAACAGATTGAATCATTAAAAGAACAGATAGCTAATGAGCAGCTTGAAGAATTTATAAGAAAATATAATCAAAATGAAAGTTGTGATAAACAAACAAAATTTCTAAATATTATTACAAGTAATAAGAAAAACGAAATATTTATAGAGGTACTTTATCATCTCGAAAATAGTATTAAATTTCAATTCGAACATGAAGAAAAATTAAGTGAAACAATAGCTGAATTAAAATCATTGAACGAAAACAATCAGTTCTATGATATAATTCGTATTTTAGAAGAACATGAAAATACTTTATTTGTTACTTTAATCAATTCATTATATAGGCCTATTTTGGGTAAACAAATATCAAGTGAATCAATATTATCTAATAACAAAAAGGATATAATTCATCAATATGAACTTGATTCACATGTAAAGGATAAAAAATATAAAGAACTTCAAAAGAAATCAATTGAACTTTATTTAGAAAAATTTGATCAAGTTTTATTAAAAAATTGTGAAGACGGTGACCTTTTTTATCAATATAGAATACAAATATTTAATAATTTATTAAAAGATACTAAAGAGAAAAATAGTGAAGAGATCGAAAAAACTTTAGCTTCACATTTAAATCAACAAATTTTCTCTAGATTAAAGAAAAATAATGTTTTAAAATACAATATAATTGATTCTAATCGTTTAGTAACAATTCCTAGTACTCGAGTTAAAACAAATTTTCTTAGTATAAAAAAACTTGATTATTTTTTTGATAAAAACGGAAGATTTTTGATCGAAACAGCTAAGAAATTAAATGAATATTCTGTAGAGGTTACTTTAGGTGAGCAAAAAAGAATTTATGATTTTTCTTGGCATAATTCTGATCAATTTGATGAAAATTATCAAATGTTAAATGATTTATATACTTCATGTCGAATAGAATTATTTCAAAAAGCAATTCATGAATTTAATCATAATTTTACGGAAAAAAATCTAATAGAAATAACTAAACATTTCACCTATTTATTTCGATTAGAAACATTGATCAGATTAAACACAAAGTCTCAAATTGACACGATCATCAATTTTTTAAAAGAATTTTATTCGATTATTGTAGATGCGATGTTTCCTAATACAGAAGATCAACTTATTATTTCAGATTTTATTTTAGCATTGAATTCTTTTGTATCATTAGATGATAATGTAAAAGAAGAAATCGAAAAATTAAAAATTTGTCTCAAAAACAAAATTTATAAGGAATTGAATTATCTTTTGGTAGAAAAAGAATATGAAGAATTGATTCAACAGAGACAAGAGAATCCAATTCTTATTTCCTTGAAATCAATTTTACCAATGCTTAAGTACAGTTTTTACTTAATGAATATATTTCAAGATCCAAATAAAAATGATTTTTTCGAAAAATTTAAAAGAAAATTCTCCGATGCAAATTCTATAGATCAATTGAGTAGAAATGATTTGAAAGGTATCGAAGAACTGTTAAGTTCAAAAAAAGAAGAACTACTCAAACCTGAATCCAAAGGTCTTCCAGCTGAGGAAATTAAATTAAAAGAAATTTATAAAAGTATCCATATACAAGATGAATACTTAGTGATAAGTCCGAAAAATTTAATTATTTTGAAAATCAGACTAAGCGAACATTCCGATAAATTACAACGTGAGCAAATCAAAAATCTGTTTACTTCACTCACTGAAGGGTGTGGGTGTGGGTGGGTGTGTGGGTGTGGGTGTGGGTGGGTGTGGGTGTGGGTGGGTGTGGGTGTGGGTGTGGGTGTAAGTGTGGGTGGGGGTGTGAGTGCGGGGTGTGTGGGTGTTGGTGTGAATCTTTACTT